GATATCCCCCTAAAATAGCTAAAACTAAAAACAAACTAAAAACTACTTCCAAAAACATTCAGCTTTGATATTAATGAGTTTTTTGGGTTCATTGAGAACACGGTTGTTGTTCAATAATAAAATTATTCCTCAAAAATACCACTTGCCTAATAATTATGCACTCCCTGTAGATGTCTGGCGACACTATAACCCATTATCTAAAGAATACACTTTCTACTCTAACCCTCACTTGTCAGCATCTTGTATAGATTATATTTTTATGTCCAAGTGTATCAGTCAGTTAGTTTAGCAGGTAAATATTGGTCATATAGGTCTCTCTGACCATGCTCCTGTAGTCCTAACCATTCAACCCATGAGACATATTGAGCGCTCCATGTCTTGGAAGATGAGTGCACTGTCTCTTTTGGATGAGAAATTTATACACTTCATAACAGAGCAAACAACATTATTTTTAGAAATAAATGATAAAGGGGAGATAGACACGAAAACTTTATGGGATAGCTATAAGGCTTACATGAGAGGGATGATTATTTCATACACAAGTCATAAAAGAAAGCAACGATTAACAAGGTAGTTAGAGATCGAGAATAATATAAAAAGGCTGGAGAAACAATATTATGTAACAAAATCAGCTGAAACCTAAAGTGAGCTTAATATTGCCAGGACATCTCTGCGTAATTTGTTAATGTGAAAGACTGAAAGAGATGTCCTTCTTGCCAGACGACAACTTTTTGAATCAGCTAATAAGCCTAACCGCTTTTTGGCTTGTCTTGCAAGGAATACTTCATCAAGTTATTTTATCACAGCTATTGTGGATGTGAAAACCGTAGGAAACTGTCAGATTAATGAGTGATTTAGAGAATTCTATACAAACTTATATCAGTCTGAGATGGATATAACAAGGCTTAACTCAGGCTTTTTTCTAAACGACTTAGTATTCCCTCAGCTCAGGTTAGCCTGCTGGAGTCACCCATCACATTGATGGAGGTGGACAAAGCAATATCTGCACTCCAGTCAGGGAAATGTCCGGGGGCAGATGGCCTTCCAGTAGAATTTTTAAGGTAATGAAAGTGAAGTTAAATAGTTTATTATTAAGGGTTTTTAATAAAGCATTTGAAAAATCGAAACTCCCAGAATCTGTGTACCAGGCTAATATAACATTAATAGCTAAAAAAAATAAAAACCCAGAGTTATGCTCATCTTACAGGCCTATTAGCGTTCTTGGTGTTGATAATAAGATACTTTCAAAGATACTGGCTTTTAGGCTAGAAAAAGTAATGTCCTCTACTGTGCATGCTGACCAGACAGGCTTTATTAAGGGGTGGAATTCTTACAATAATACTCGACGTCTATTTAATATTATTCATTTTTTAAATTTTTATCAGATCTCCGGGGTTGTTGTTTCTATGGATGCCGAAAAGGCATTTGATAGAATTGAATGAGAATATCTGTTTGAAATAATGAGAAGATTTGGGTTTGGAAAAAACTTTTTGGGGTGGATCAAAATTATATACAAATCACCAATAGCATCAGAGTTAACTAACGGCTTGCTATCCTCCCCAATTACATTGAGCAGAGGTACAGCACAAGGTAGTCCATTGTCACCACTATTATTTGCTTTGGCCATCGAGCCTTTGGCCATGGCCATTAGACAAAATCCAAGTGTTCCTGGAGTTAAAATTGGGGATAGACAACATAAAATCCTGCTCTATGCAGACGATATTCTTCTGGCACTGACTGACCCTGCTAACGCTCTACCTGTTCTTACTAGGTGTATCAAGGACTTTGGTCTTATATCTGGATACAAGGTAAATTTTGATAAATCTGTTATAATGACTCTGTGTAGTGGAAGGACACTGAACCTTTATATGTTAAACCTTTTCACCGGGCACCATCAGGTTTTGTATATTTGGGAGTTAAAGTTACACCAAATGTTGGTCACTTATATAGAGAAAACATTAATGGAATGGTTCAAGATCTTCGAGAGATGCTGACAAGATGGAGGTCACTTCCAATATCATTTTTGGGAAGAATAAATCTCATTAAGATGGTAATCCTACTGAAAATACGATATTATATAGGCATGGTGTTTGTAATTTTGAAATCAGAAGATATTAAAGCAATTAACAAGGCTATGGTGGATTTCATTTGGGCAGGAAGAAAACCCAAAATTAAATTGGAGACACTACAGTTACCGAAAGATCTGGACAGATGGGGAGTGTCAAACATAGAAAATTATGTTCTCTCAATACAAGCAAGGTTTCTTTCTGCCTGGATACATGAACATTCTGATCTGCCATGGATAAAAATTGAGGGAGTATTACGTAAACCATCCTCACTTGTTAACTTTTTAGGGAAACGTTTAAATGATTTACCTCACGTAATAAAGTATAACCCACTAATATATAATGCTATGTGGACGTGGGGAAAACTGAGAAAAAATTTTAACAGAAGTCTTCCGTTTAATATTTTGTCAACGTTTATAAATAATCCAGACCTTCTACCGCAAAACATAGGGTTGAGGTTTGTGGGATGGCATAAAGTAGGTGTAAAGAGGTTTTATGACCTCTTTAAACATGGTGAGTTTAAATCATTTGAATCCTTGAAGTCCCAGTATTCTATGTCAAAGACTGAGTTTTATAAGTATTTGCAATTGAGAAATTATGTGTTAAAAAATGCTAAATCATTTTCGGTTGGAGAAATTCTTTCTAGATAATAGGGAGCGTAAACATTTTGTATCAAAGTCTTATTCAGAGATTTATGCCCTAATTGTGGATAAACTGGCATGGTTGAGAAAATCTTGGGGGACATTACTTAAGTGTGAAATAGATATACAGGCATGGGACAAAATCCTGCTCCTTCCATCTAAAATCTCTGTTTGTAACCGATTTAAAGAACTGCAGTACAAAATCCTGCACAACGTATATATTTCTCCATATATTTATAGTAAGTACAATATGGGAACATCTCCAAATTGTCTCAAGTGTAAGGTCAGAGTGGGCACTAGATTCCATTGCTTGTGGGAATGTGCTATTATTCAGTCATTTTTGGAAAGAGGTCTGTCCCAATATTAGTACAGCCATTGGTCAGCAGGTAACAGAACACCCATTAATGTGCTTATTGGGATATATCCCTGTTTCACTGGTACAACATGAGCATGTAATTCAGTCACTGTTAATGTTGGCCAGGAAAAGTATTATGTTGAGATGGGTGGGGACTGAGCCTCCCTCCATTTCTCTATGGAAGTCGCTCATCAGTGATGTTATGACTCTGATCAGGTTGGGACATTATATTGATGGGAGCTCCCGAAGTATTCTGGACAAATGGAAGAAACCACTGGAAGCACTGGGAGTAACTTGTAAACTGGACCCTAATGGACAATAATTAAGGGCATAATGTCGTAATACTCTAGTGCTGTGCAGTATTATTATTTTGGACGTGAACCAGTCTTGTATTTGTTGGGGAAAAAAGTTAAATAAAAGTTAAAAAAAAAAAAATATATATATATATATATATATGATCTTTGTATTCTCTTGTAACTTCGGTGTTTTTGTTTGTGACTGTAGATTCTCCATGTATGGAGGAACCCAGGATGAAAAAACTAAATCTGAGCAATTGTGAAGTGTATCTAGATGTATCTAGATATTATTGTCTACTCAGACACTTGGTTAGAGCATATGAAAATGCTCACTGATGTTTTTCGTCGCTTGGAAGGGGCACACCTCACCCTCAATGTTTCCAAGTGTGAGTTTGGCATAGCCACTGTGACGTATCTAGGGAAACAGGTGGGTCGGGGACAAGTGCGCCCTATTTTGGCAAAAATCCAAGCCATACTGAATTTTCCTGCCCCCAACCCGTACCCGGCCTGAGCTCCATCGTTTTCTCGGCATGGTGGGTTATTACTAAGGTTTCTGCCAAAACTTCGCAGAAGTATTTGCACCCCTCACTAGCCTCACTAGTGTGTTAAAACCTTTTGTGTGGTCCTCTGCATGTCAGAGTGCATTCCAGGCTGTCAAAACTCTCCTTGCAGTTTGCCAGTGCTGGCTGCCCCTGATTTTGCACGTCCTTTCAAATTAGAGGTAGATGCCAACGGAGCAAGTACCATATTCTTACAGGAAGATCAACAAGTTGTGGATCACCCAATCGGCTATTTCTCAAAGAAATTCAATGTTCATCAGCAAAGGTATAGCACGATTGAAAAAAGAAGCCCTTTCCTTGCTGTTCACATTGCAGCATTTTGAGGTGTATGTTGGTTCCAGCCCCTCGCCTGTGATTGTTTATACCGACCAATCCCCTGGTGTTCCTAATGTGAATGCAGAATTCGAACCAAAGACATGTGAGATGGTCTATCTCAATTTCAATCTGGAAATTCGGCATTAAAAGGGTACAGAGAATGTACTAGCAGATGCACTGTCTCAAAGTTTCTTTTATTCCTAACTGTCAAAACATCTACAGAGGAGATGTTTTGATCCTGGGAATGGGGGAGGGGGGGGGTGTTATGGCCATAAGTAGTCTGTGTTAGCTGCTGTGTTGTGTTTCTTTACAGTGTGATAAGAATCTCTGCAGGTCCTTCCACTAATGAAAAGTAGTGGGCTGCTGATTGGACCACTGATCATGTGACTGGGTTCAAAAAGCCGCACTGACAACTTCCGGGAGAGAGCGAGAGAAGCGAGTAAGTGCGAGAGTGATCAGATTTGACAGCAGACTCTGACCTGGCCCTGGATTCCAAATTCTTGTGTTATTATTTGTTATTATATGTATGTAAGCATGCTCCGTTAGAGCCACCAATCATGTGTATATGTACAGTGCTTATGCGTCTATAGGCTGAAGCTGAAGGGGTATGCAACCTTTTCTTTTGAACTGCTTTTCTCCTGTTTCTGAGCTTGGAAGCGAGGAGTAGCTATTGTCATCTGTTTGTTAGTTTGTTTTTTCCCCTTAGGGTTTAGTTAAGTTTCCTCTGGCGGGACTTAGTTGGTTTTGTGTATTATTTTGGCCTGGGTTCACCCTGGAGCTATGCTTCCTGACATTAAATAAAAATCACCTTTTCTTTGCTCATAACTGGTTTTGGCCGTTTGGTTTGGGAACCAGGGCGGGTACTTGCTTCTCTCTACCCAGAATCTTATGTGCATCTCTAAACACATAGAATAGGGGCTGAACATGCTGTTAACATCCAGCTGTGCACACAGTTTCAATAACAGTGTAACTGAGATATTTTTCTCACCTTTTGTGTTGAAGTCATTGTTTCCTCTGTAGTGGCTGAGCTGAGTCCAAATGGCTGAAACTGTTCCTCTGCTGCTCCACCAGACTCTTCTCCTCCTGTTACTCAGCTGGGACACAAAAGTATAGATATGTATTTTATCCCTGACAAGAAGAAGCAGAGCAAATAAACATTACTACACTCAGTGACAACAATATGAGATCTATCTATCTATCTATCTATCAATCAGATAGAGAGAGATAGAGAGAGAGAGGCTGCACATTAACCACCACAATATATTTTTATTCTCTGTGCTTTCAAATATGAACACTGTTTACTTTCATCTGTTTCATTAGTTTTTGTTAACATCTTCCTGTGCATCACTTTACAGCAGCCACACTCATTAAAATGAGACTTTGTAGAAGTTCACTTCCTCTCATGTGTTCATCCACAGCAGCTGGACAATAAAGTTATAGTGACCCTGATACTGCAGCAGATCGCTCTGACTTCCTGTTATCACTTAAATAGAAACGAGGCTGTAGAGGTTTGGTGCAGGCAGAGAAACAGCTGCAGGGACAATGAAAAGACTTTCCTGCTCCAACTTCTCCCAGCATGCTGAGCTAATGATTAGTTGGTGTTTTTCTCCAAACACTCTCTCACTCTTCTCTCAACGTGTTCACAATAAACTGTGAACAGACACCGAGGAGAGCAGCAGAAGACCTCATTCAGGAGCTAAACTCAACATGAACTGAACTCACAGTAAAGTTAGCTCGGTGCTTACCTTTAGATGAGCCCACAAACCGAGAGAAACTCCGCGATGAAGCTGCAACTCTTTCCAAACACAGGAAACAGATCAGGGAGCAGAGACCCACGTGGTTCACGCTGATCTCAGCTACGATCCAGGAGACAAGGGTGGGCAGATCGATGCAGATATCGATCAGGACGTTGGTAGTGGTTTATGATCGATACTTTAGTTTGTTTCTCTCCTCTACTCCCGTTTTGTGAAAAAGCAGCTCTCTCTGCTCGACTCCCCTCCTGCACAAACACTTTGCTCCGCCCCCTTCTTCTTAAATGTTATTGGCGGTTGGCGCATTACCGCCACCACTAGCATGGAGTGTGGACTGGAATGATCCATTATCCCCCTAATACCAAATTTACAGATTTTAATTAGTATGTTTTCTCTCCACATCATATCACAGGCTTTCTCTATATCAAAAAACAACTACACTTTCTTTGTTTATTTGTGCTTTTCTAACTTCATTTTCCAAACACAATACTGGTCCATGGTATTCCTCCTTGTCCTAAACCCACTTTGATGTTCAGAGATAAATCCTCTAGTTTCTAAATAGTACGTTAATCTTTAATTTATCATACGCTTCATTACTTTACAAATATGCGATGTTAAAGCTATAGGTCTAAAATTTCCTGGATTTGTGTCATCCTTTCCTGGTTTCCGTATGGGTACCACCACAGCTTCCTTCCAGCTTTTCGGCAGCCTCCCACCCTCCCAAACCCTACCCTATCCTACAACTCTAACAAAAGCTCTTTACCTGACTCACTAAGATGGTTTAACATGATATAACACACCTGATCTTTTCCTGGTTCTGATATTTTTAATTTCTGGTGCACTCAATGCAGTTCTGACTTCGTAAAAAGAATATTCAATAGATCATCTGTATCTTCTACCATATCCAATAAATCTATATTCTCTGTGACTGTCAATTCTCTTCCTCTTCGCCCTACTTCACTAGCATTGCCTGAACTATGGATTTTGACAAATTATTTTGCCAACATGTTAACCTTTTCCTCATCTTTAATCGTTGCTACTTCTCCATGCCTCAGAATTGGATACCCATACTCCCTTTTTATGCCATTCATGCTTCTAATGACCAAACGCTGTGTATTTTAGTCTCCCTCCTAACTGAGTTACAAAAACCTCTCCAGAAATCCTTCTTTGCTTTTTTAACAGTTTGACTTACTTTAACTTATAACTTTCTGTATCCAACAAGATTCTGAAAATTGTGATTCCTCTTTAAAATCTTAAAAACCTCAAAGTTTAATCACTTCCAGACACTCCTTTGTCCACCAAGGTACAATCCTCTTTTCCCTTCCTTCTTCCTTATTGCCCTACGTGCCGCCTCTAACACTGCCTTACAAATAGAATCATATAAATCATCAACTTCAACATTCATATCGATCCTTTGCATTTCTTGATAACTAATTAATCCAAATGTATCCCAATTAGCATCACTGAAACACCACTTCTTGACACCTCTTATATCCTGTTTCTCAACACCCAGCTCTACCTCAATTAGAATAGGATAATAGTCACTCCCTACAGTAGTCTCTTTCAATATCTCCCATTAACAAAGTAAGATCAATGGCTGATTCGACCCCTGTTCTAACATTTACCCTAGTGCCCCCTATATCATTCAAACATGCATAATTCTTTACCTCCATCAATTCCTCAATCACCGCCCCATTCCAATCATTACTCTTACCCCACAACGTGCTGTGTGCATTAAAGTCCCCACACCAGATTACTCTTACCCCTTAAATATGCACCAGGTTCCTCCACTGCTAATAGTTTGTTAGATGGATTATGAAAGTTTACCACTCTAATGCTGCCAGTTCCTCCCCATATATCAAGAATTATAAATTTGAACTGCCTTCCTGTAGCTACAACTCTATATTGGATCCCTTGTTTCACAAACGTTACACATCCTCCTCCATTACCCTCCTTCCTATTCCTCTGGACGCTATCATCAGGGTTACGCCCCTTCATGCGTCACAAATGAACATAATATGATTGAACCTTGACACCACACCCATTGCTTGTGCAATATCTGGTCGTGTGGCCATGGCAGCATACAATAAACTTCCAACCATTGACTGATACATGCTTGGGTTTACAGGTTGACTGACGTCATCACTCTTTCTTAATTTGACATTTGTGTTAGCTGGAATTTCTACTGGATTTGCACTGTCCATTCCATACTTTTGTAGTATGTTTTCAGTAAACTGTCTCTGATGAAGCACAACATGGTTAGTGTCTTTGTCTTGGACCACTGAGATGCCCAGAATGTAGGATAGCTCAGCCATGTCCTTCATTTTGTAGTGTTTCCTCAGAGTGTCCTTTAAGTTCTTCGTGCTCTCTGTTGATTCGGTAATCAAAATCAGATCATCAACATACACAGACAATATTTCCAACTCCTGATCTGTTCTAACAAACACACACTGATCTGAAGTACTCTGTGTAAAACCAATGCTTTTCATAAACTCTGTAAAAGCTTTGCTCCAGCAACGTGGAGACTGCTTCAGTCCATATATTGACTTGTTTAGTTTGCACACTAGATGTTCCTGCCCAGGTTTGATGTAACCCTCTGGCTGCTCCATGTAGATTTCCTCTTCCAGGTGTCCATTCAAGAATGCAGTCACAACATCCATTTGAAGCACATTTAGATTGTTTTGCACAGCAAATGATAAAGTACGAATTGAACCAAATCGTACAACCGGAGAGAATGTTTCATCATAGTCTGCACCATAAATCTGTGAATAGCCTTTGGCATTAAGTCTGCACTTGAATCTTCCCACTTGTGCATCACTGTGATGCTTAACTAAAAGATCCATTTTGATCCAACTGCTTTGCAATCCTTTGGTAGAGCCACTAAATCCCATGTGCCATTTTCCAGCAGTGACTCATATTCCAAATCAGCTGCTTCTTTCCACTCCTTTGCATTTGGACTTGACATTGCCTCTTCCAGTGTATTTGGTTCTGTGACACAACAGATGTTTGCATAATGGTCAACTGTAACTACGTCAGCAAACTCCTCAAATCCATATCTCTTTGGAGGTCTTCTGATCCGCTAATCTCCTTTTGTAGCCTCACTGGCGACAGGTTTGTCTTTCACCCGTGTGTAGTGTCACTTCATTCCCCAAACAGAGATCATTTTCACTTTCTTTGCAATTAAAATCTGTTTCATTGAAGACCACATCTTGTCAAATCAGTATTTTTCTTTTTTCCTCATCCCGCAGTCGGTAGCCTTTTGCATTCGTTGCATATCCCATGACGAACTTGCCTTTTTGTCCAGCTTCTTTCTCTCGGTGTTTGGAACGTGTGCATAAGCAACACATCTAAATACTTTCATATGACTAATGTCTGTTTTTTTCCATACCATCTCTGATAGGGTGTTTCATTCTTTTAAGCAGATGTTGGGAGCCTATTCTGTATGTAAGCTGCAGTAGCAACAGTTTCTGCCCAGAATGTGTTTAGCAACTTTGCATGTGATGGCATACTTCTAGCTGATTCCACTAGAGTTCTGTTTTTTCTCTCTGCAACACAATTTTGCTGCAGTGTATGTGGCACAGTCACTTCATGGTGGATGCCTTGAGCTTTCAAATATTGTTGAAACTCTTTCCCCACCATTGTCAGTTCTGAGTAGGGATGGGTACCGGTATCCACATAATAGATACCGGGACCCATCCAGTATCTATTACCGGATGGGTACCGGCAGCTTTTTCCATAATGGCACCGGTTCTGACATAAACATAAGATATTGGGCCGCTATTGTGTTGCTTTAAATGTGTATTTTTTGGTGGTTAAAAAAATGTTGTTTATTTCTTTAATAAATAATTTTGACCAGTAAACTCTCCTTGTTTAAACATGCACCATTGTGTGATCTTTCTTTGCTTGTGACTTCTTGATGTTGGTAAATACAATAATGTCTGTGAAGGTTCTCAGTCATCCAGGTCATCGTAGTCTAAGGAGCTTGGAAAGAAAAGCGTCTGGACTTCTTTAAGTTACTTGAAAACGTTTCACCTCTCATCCGAGAAGCTTCTTCAGTTCTAAGGTCAAATGGTGGAGAGTCCCAGATATAAACCTAGTGGGAGTTTCCCCCCACAGAGGGACAAAGGACCCCCTGATGATCCTCTAATCGCCTGAGCCAAGGTGTGAAACTGGGTGTGGGTCCCAATCAGCCAGAGTTTCGGGTGAGCTCATTCTGAAACCTGGCCCCACCTTATCATGTGAATTCCTGAGGTCAGATGGCCCAGGATGTGAGTGGGCGTTAAGGCGTCTGGGAAGGGATCTCAAAACTGGATTATAGATGGCAGAGAGTTGGTGTCGTAAACCACCCCCTCTGGTCGCTCACAGTGGACATAGATGGCTTCTTTCACTCCTCTTTCAAACCATCTGTATTAATGTAGAGGTCTGGGCATTCCTCGCTGCACTGTACAGCATACACCACATTGTTAAGTCTTTTTCGTGCTTTTCTTAGATGACGCCCAACTTTTTCTATCCATGAAGCCAACACACAACAAATAGTTAAACTGCAGGAATGTCTTAAAGACAAAGACTTTATCCCAATTCAAGGTCTGCAGCCTTAAATGCAGCGTTTTAAGGCCGATTATGTCACAGCGATGTGACAAAGATCGTCCCAATTAAAAGAGTCCTCCAAGTGCCCCCTTCTTTTCCCAAGATTTGAAGGCTGGGTCCAGTGTAGCCTTCGTGGCCCAACATATCCCACAATTCCTTGTGCAGTGGTGGGTGCGGATAATTTTTTGGGAAAAAAACGGCGGCTCTCTGAAACGGATTGACTGAAGAGTAAACTTTTAAAAGTAAGTACTGGATATTATGTCACTTATTTATGTGCAAATGTTTAATAGCGAAGAACAATAAAACATTACTGTTGGCCACATGTCTGCAAAGTTATGTGATATTAGTGATGATAAAACTTTCAGCGTCAACTTGTTTTTAAAGCCTTTACTTTAGAATAGTTCAATAGTTAACCTTAATCTTACATTGAATGTGATGATTTTATGGATGACTAAACTCAGTAATATATGACCTTTCTTTTTCTGTTCTAAATTCAGGTCATACTGAGGTCACGCACGTGGCACTTTAAACAAAAAAACAAAAAACAAACATGCAGTAGAAATACTCCTGTTCATGACTTTAAGTCACAAACTGATACAATGTCTCTTTTTAGCCGTTTAATGTCAAATGACCATTCCTTCTTTAAAATTCTAACCTTTGTATAACCTTTCCATATCATTTCCC